CGCATGCCAGGCCAGCGCCCTACCGCTTGAGCCACATCCCCAGCCCAGGTTCCAGAACTTCTGAAGCCCAAGCCTGACCCCTCCTAGCCCTTCCCAGCTCCCCAGTTAGTCTAGTTGATGAAGATCCAGGCTCAGCTAGGGCTGGAAACCCTGTCCTGGGGGAGGGGGAGGGAGAGAGGGCTATGAGGAAGTAGTCCCAAAAGCTTGGATTGAAAGCCAAAGGGTGGGGGGGCGGGGAGTGGCCCACACTTGTAATCCCAACCACTCAGGAGGCCGAAGCAGGAGGATCATGAGTTCTAGGTCAGCCTCAGCAATTTAGACAGACTCTGTCTTGAAATAAAAAAAAAATACAAAGGGCTGGGGATGTGGCTCAGTGGTAAAGCACTCCTGGGTTAGATCCCCAATACCAAAAAATAAAAACAAAAAAGGCCAAGGGCACAAGAGCAAGGGTCTGTCCCTCCCTGTACTCCAGTCTCTCCACTGTACAATAGGAGCACTTTAGCAGGGCATTCCCTGAGACATCTGTGAGAGGATTTCTTTTCATCGTTAGAACCCACTGACCTTTCCATTTCCTTTTCCTCCTCCTTCCCTCTGTCCAGCTTTTGCTGTGTGGCAGGCCTGTGCTGGCCACTGGGCTTCAGGCTCCTCTTGGAGGGGAGGAGGTCCCGGAGGGGCAGGGCAGGGCAAGCCCTCTCTTGGCAGTAGCTGCTGTGGGATGAATACCTTCTCCTCCGTCACCCCCAGTGATTCTGGTTATCTGATTGCCCAGTCGTGCTGAGGGCTTCCTGCTAGCCAGAATCTCAGTCCCTGCCTGACTGCCATTGAACATCTTTCCAGCACCGACCCTGCATATGCCCTGCCTAGGGAGGCACCCAGGCTGAAAGGACATGGGGGTGAGGGGGTGAGGGCAGCCATAGTTCCGTTCACCATGCTGACCTCTATTGACCCCTCTTTCTCCTCAGCTGCCTTCCCTGGAGGCCAAAGCTTCGGTGGAGATGCGGGCGGGGGCCAGTTGGCTGTTTTCAGGGGCCCTGGTTGGGGCGCTAGGAGAGCTGGCTCTAGTGTGGACCTCTTCCGCTGATTTGCTCTGTGATAGCAGGTAGGCTTTTGTTCTCTGAGCTCCAGTCACCTGTCTGTAGGTGGAGGACTGAACTAGAAAGACTCCAAGGGATTTTTTGGCTCAACCCAAGTCTTAGTCTCTGACTCTGACCTGTGTCATAGGATGGGCCATGAATGTGAAAGAAGAAACCTCAGATACACTCCCTCCCCCTTTCCTGACCCTAGGCCCCCCACAAGTACTGGCTTCTGAGAATTAATTTTTTTTTTCTTTTTGCTGCCAGGGATTGAACTCAGGGGCACTTTGCTGAGGCTGGCTTTGAACTCATGATCCTCCTGCCTCAGCCTCCTGAGCCGCTGGGTTATAGATGTGCACTGCTGTGCCTGGCCCATGGGGATATTTTTTGAGAACGTGTTCAGTGGGATATATCATGGTTTTTTTGTTTTTGTTTTGCAGTACTAGGTATTAAATCCAGGCCTCACACATGCTAGACAAGCACTTTACTACTGAGCCACTTCCCCAGCTCTTTGCTTCTTTTTTCTTCTTTCTTTCTTTCTTTTTTAAAGATGGACACAATATCTTTATTTTCATTTATTTTTTTATTTTTTATGTGGTGCTGAAGATTGAACCCAGGGCCTCACGTGGACGACACAAGCGCTCTATCACTGAGCTACAACCCCAGCCCTTTTCTTTTTTGCTACCAAGGATTGAACTCAGGGGCACTTAACCACTGAGCCACATCCCCAGCCCTATTTTGTATTTTATTGAGAGACAGGGCCTCACTGAGTTGCTTAGCGCCTCGATTTTACTGAGGCTGGCTTGGAACTCATGATCCTCCTGCCTCAGCCTCCTAAGCCACTGGGATTACAGATGTGCGCCACTGAGCCTGGCTCCCAGAAGCATTTTTAAAGAACCCTGATCTTGGTCCTGGACAAAACTGGCAGAAGCCCTCATCACCACCTCCCAGGTGGACAGAGAGAGACTGAAGGGTGCGGTTCCCAGCACCAGAGTGCTTTGAGAAAGGCCTGCCTGTGAAGCCAGATGAACAGGGTCTGAGCAGAGCAGCCCAGCCCACTGTCTCTATGATACCAGATGGTCCAGGCAAGGGGCAGGGAGAGGGACTAAACAGTAACAGGTGTGCCATTGGAGCTCCTGGGCCTGGGTTCAGATTTACATCCTCTGTTTAAGCATTTGGGACTCCAGGGATGGAGATGTCACTGGGCAGCTAGAATCCTTGTCTCATCCTTAGCACAATAGGAAAATCACTAACTCCTTCCCTCCCCGTGTTACTGGGAGATAACAGGATCGGGAAGCTCCCCCATGTGCTGGCAGGTCCTGCGTGCAGGCATTGCTCTGTGGCTGAGCTGACCCAGCCCCAGGCCTGCTGGGTAGCGTGTGCAAGATCCCTCAGCCCTTGAGTGAGCTCAGCTGCATGCCCAGGTCTGTGGGCAGGTCCTCCTCCTCAGGGACCTCAGGGGAGGTATTGTTATTTTACTGCTGGAGCAGCCTGGGGCAGGGGCTGGTGGAGAGGTTTCTTTCCTGGGTGCATATAACAAAACACCACCCGTCATATGTCTGCTGAGGGCGTCACTTCTGAAAGGCTGCTTTCAGCTCTTGGGTGTTTAATCTTGGTGGTGGTGGCTGCTCAGGAGACAATGTTTGTGTTTCTCTGTCTTCTTTCAGCTCCAGGAGAGAAACCTCACTGCAATTGATTTAAACACAAGAACTGCTAACTGGCTGTTCCTCTGCAGGAGACATCAGGGTGGCCGGTGACCTGAAGGTAGAGCCGTGCTTGCCAGGGCCTCCAGAACACCATGTGTCTAATACTCATTTCTGTTTCTTGCTGATCTCGAGCCCATCTGGCTGGGCTCCTCACTGGGGTCACATCAACCTGCCCCAAAAGTCGCAGTTAGAAATTCCATTCAGAGAAGACCTGTCTTCTGGGTTCTCTGCATCAGTCCCTGGGAAGGGGCCGATTGGCTTTTTAAGTCACATGCTCTCCCTTTGAGTGACAGAGGATATTGCCATGGGGCACTGCCCTGGGAATTGCCAGGGGTTTTCTGTTACCAGAAGACAAGGAATAGAAAGCAATGGGTCACTGAGGCGTGTGTCTGGGTGGTGGCTTCTTCTATGATTGGACTTCTACTTCTCTGATTTGAACACAAGTCAGTGTCTCTGTGCCTAGAGGAAGAGGGGAAATGTCATCCAAGTTTTGCCCCCCGCCCCCATGCACAGGGCCAGAGACCACCATGCCCAGTGCCCTCACTGTACACACAGAGGTTGCAGTAGGCAGGGAAATTAGGTTCCTGACACCCAGCCTGGAAGCCCTGCAGTCATTTGTCACTGGCTCTAAACCCTTTCTGGGGAGGCCAGTGAGATAGCTTTTTAACATCACTGATATCTCCCATCCCAGGACACACAGAACGTGAGTACATCCAAAGGCAAAATCTATTCCCTCACCCCTCGTGGGTGACCTCATGATTTGCTTGCCCAGCAGGGATGGCAGAAGGCAAGCTCTCTCTCTGTGTCTGTGAGCCCAAGTCTCAGGGAACTTATAGCTTCTCTCCCACTTTCTCGAAGCCCAGCCCAGCTGCAGTGAGAAGCCCAGGCTGGGCTACTGAATGATGGGTTTGGTGCAGAGAGAGGCCTGCCGTCCTCACCCAACCCAGTCCTGGCTGACCCACCCGTCACATGAAGCCACACGAGTCAGCTCAGTGAAGTCGGCTGGACGTCCCAGCCAGACCCAGGAGCAGAAGAACCCATCATCGTTTCAAGCCACTAAGTCCTGCCTGCTTTATTGTGTAGCAGTGGAGACATGAAGCAGCCAGGCTTAAAGAGTGAAAAGGTTAACAATATGCATTAATTTGAATTTGTCCAATGTCATTTCTCAGTCTGAGAGGCGGGCAACCCCCTCTTAGATCCCTGAGGTTCTGACCTTCAGAGTCCCTGTAATGTCACCAGTGATCTGGGAGCAGCATGGGGTCCATGATGGTCTGTCATCCACTACTGCATCCCCAGTAACACATCAATGCAGAGGACACCTACTACTCCTCTAGACTGCCACACAAATGCCAAGCCCCTGCTTTCATACCCCAGGACAGTTTCTTCCATTACTGAGTGACTCTGTCTGGAAGAGAATACTCCTCCCATGAGAACAAAGACCCACATCATTCCCTCTGGGACCCAGATTCTCTCCCTGAGGTCCCCTCTCCTATCCCACAGCCCTGAGTGCATCACAGTTGTCCCTAGCATTTGCAAAGCAGCACAATCTCACTCGATAGCAAGTTTTTTCATGTACCTGTGCCCAGGCCTTATGGGAAGTGTGTCCACCAGGGTCTAAACCAGCTCCAGCTCCGTGACCACCGTTAGGGGCTTTGGCACCAACCCAGCCTCTGTGCGGAAGACACTCCTGTCTTAGCCTCAGTTTTCTCACCTGGAAAACAGAAGTGAAATTTACTGCCCGGGGTTGCCACTGGGCCTAAAGGGGAGATGATGGATGTGGAGAGTCGGGGATAGAATTGGTCCTTGATAAAGGTTAGTTCCTCTTCTGCCAGGTATATAAACTGTTCCAGATGGAAAGCTCATCTATGCTTAGCATTCATGTCTGTATAAATAATGTGCAGGTGGGGGAGGAACCGTCAGGTGGCCTGGGCAGGGGGGGATTCCCATCAGGGAGAGCAGGGGGAGCAAAGACTAGAGAAAACCGTGTGCTAGGGAAGGGCCAGCGAGCAGTGGGTGGTTAGGAGCTGCCAGTGCTTGAAGAGTGACAGGAGGGAAAAGGGAGGACCAGCCCTGCCGTGGGCTGCCAAGGGAGACAAGGAGAGGTCAGGAGGGGGAGGGGCAAGGTCAGAGGCGGGACTCCAGTCTGGGGCAGGTCTGGGGCTTCACTGGGAGGTGAGGCCAGAGGGATTCCTGGGAGTCTGTTGGGATGGCAGCAGGAGAATTTTGTGCATGCCGCAGGGAGAGGACAGGGGGAGGGAGCAGCTGGCGTGGGAAGCAGGGCGCTAGACTCTCCCACCCAGTAAGACTACTCTGAATCTTCAGGTCTTATAGGGAAAAGCATCTTTTCAATTTAGGAACAGATTGGGAGGGAGATCAGAGAAGACCTGGGTCACATCTGTAGCCAGAGACATTCAGGGTAGACCACTGGAGAGACTAACCTTACTTGTCTCTCTGGTGGGGATTTAAAGCGGTCCCTTCAGAGTCTGTCTGCTCATTTTCTTAGCCATCATGGACCTCAGGCTGAGCGGCACAGTTCCCTGCTACAGTTACGGTTTCTTCTGAACCTTGCAGCTGCCTTGAGAAAACAGAGTGCTGGGCAAACACTATTAGCCTTATTTTGAAGATAGGGAGACCAAGGTGGGCCTGGAGATGGGAAGCCACTTATCCAAGACCACATAACAGGCGCATGGCAGGGCTGGGCTGCTGCGTCCCTAAACTCTGTCCATGGCCTTGCGGGACAGAGCAGGATGTTTTTGCCTGCTTGATGTGAGGAGTGTGGGGAGCCAGAGGAGGTGGACAGCTGTCAGCCGACAGGACTTAACCCAAACTGACAATCTAATTGTGACAACGTGGATGAGGTACAGTTATGCACAAGGAAATCCAGACGCTCTGGGCCCTGGGGAGCCTCGGCAGCACCCCTGTTGCTGGGGAAACAGGAGAGGGCTCGGGATGATGTCACTGACTCTGGTTGAGGCTTGGGGGCTGGGCTGCCGTTTACCTCCTTGGGCCCAGGTCCTCACACCTTTGTAGTTAAGCAGTTCTGTTACAGATTGGGCTCCCAGGAGCTCTAGGGGAAGGTGGTGACTTGCTGTGTGACTCTGTCTGGAAGAGAATCCTCCTCACACAGGGAGTCAGAGACTAGACAGCCCGGGACCAGGTGATGCTGGCTATTTCTCCAGCCAGGCTGCAGGCACCTTGAGGAGTCACCTAGGAATCCCAGTGACCAGCACAGGGTTTTGCAAAGAGCAAATGCTCAGCCTGGCAGCAAGGGCTGCTCAGTTGCTGTAGGAAACAGGCAGTACAGGCCACTTTGAAAGGCGAAGCTGGGGAATTCATAGCAGCTTTAATAGAGCAGGAGCCCTGAGCAGTTCTCCAGGTGCAGGAGACCCTGAGCTTAGAAAAGGCAGGTCACCAAGCCAAAGTCACCCAGCAGGTTGGGGTGCACTGGGCTGATCCTGAGCCTACAATCAAGTCCCCTCTCAGCCCCAGGAATATAACATATAATCCTTCCCTCTGGAGCAGTGGTCCTCACTGCCATCCCCCTCACCCTGGGGCAGGGATCTAGGCATTGGGTGGTCCCCATTTTCTGTGGCATTTTCTCAGCATTCTCACTCCGGAGGATAAAGATCAACCCTGCCAAAACATCAATAATGATAATAACAGCCCCTACTGTGTGCCAGGCTCTGGGCTGTCACTCTATTTCCTTACCTCTAATCTTTTCAACTCTGTGACCCTGAATTCTTGTTTTCGTCTTGAGTCCAGAAATTGGAGGCTCTGTCACTTGCTACCTGTACACAGAAAGCAAGATACCTGGGCCATGAGCCCCCAGGTCACTGCATCCAAACACCCTGGCTGCCTTCTTCCCTGGCTGAGTCCCTGTGCGAGGGAGAGGGCAGCTGAGTCTGTGCCTGACCAGCCTCCCTCCCACTTCTGATGGCAAAACGCCCCTCCCTTCGAGGCCCCCCCCCCGCCTTTCTGAGCTTCTGGTAGGGCCACCCATCACAGAGCCCAGTACCCTGTTAGAAGGCTTGGCCTTCTAGAGAATTCTATTGTCCTGGCTATATCAATGACCCAGGAGGAGTGTGTGAGCCAACTGGGGCAGAGAGGCCTCCTTGGGAATGTGTACATGGGCTCTGGGAGGAAGCAGTTAGGCTCCCCTGGAATGCAAGCTCTAAAAGTAGGATCCCAAGCGTCCAGCCGGGTATTCCCCATCATGGGAGGAAAACCAGGAGAACGAAGAAGAGAAGGACCAAGCAGGTGGTGCAGGAGGTTCTGTGCACCCTGAGCATCCCCTGTCTTCCCAGTTATGAGGGCAGGTGCCCATGTTTTCTCGGTATTCCCGGACGTGGGTCTCTGTCCCCTTCTTTTAATGAGTGCAGTTCTGTGTCCTCGGTGATGTGCCCGTTCCCATGCTGTTGTTACAGGAGGAACAAGATGGATAAAGGTTCCTGTCCTCCAGGAACTAGCAATCCAGGTGGTGGGCAGAGGCAATGGTTTTTGATTCTGATCTCTGCTTTGCCTCAAACTTAATGCCTGATCCTTCCCTTCTCTGGGCTACCATCTCCCCATCTTAACCATGAAACTATGGGGGGCACTGGGCTCAGTGTTCTGCAGGGTCCCCTCCAGACCTATACAACTATGTGAAAAAAACTGACACATAATTCACCCTTTTGAAGTGTACGGTTAGTGATGTTTAGTATATCGCAAAGATGTGCAGCCATCACCACTTCTAATTGGAGAACATTTCCATCCATCACCCCACAAAAAAAATCCCACACCCATTAGGAGTCATTTTCCATTCCCCTACTGCTCCAGCCTCAAGAAAACACAAATCTCCTTTTCTATTTTTTGTCTCTATGGATTTTTACATCCTGGACATCCCAAGTTCATTTTCAAATTTATTCATATTATATCAACACTTGGTTTGTTCTTTTTTAAAATAATTTTTTAGTTGTTGATAGACATCTATTTATTTATTTATTTATTTATTTATTTATTTATTTATATGTGGTGTCGAGACTCAAACCCAGTGCCTCACACATGCCAGGCAAGTGAACTACTGCTGAGTCCCAGCCCCAGCCCCTTGGTTTGTTCTTAATGGCTAGATAACCCACGACATGAATGTTCCTCATTTTGTTAACCCATTTATCAGTCAGGTAGACATTTGGGTTGCTTCCACTTTTTGGTTATTATAGATTACAGTCATGTGCAAGCCTTTGTGTGAGATACAGGTTCCAGTTCTTGGCATACACGTGTAGGAGTGAAACTGCTGGATCATATGGTAACTCTATATGATTTTGGAGAACTGCCAGACTCTTCCCAAAGTGGCTGTACCATTTTACATTTCTAGCAGTAATGTCTGAGGATTCCAATTTCTCCATGTTCTTGACAATGCTAGTTATTTTCTGTCTTTTTTAAATTCTAGCCATTCTAGTAAGTACAAAGTGGTATCTCATTATGATTCTCATTTGAATTTCCCTCATGGCTAATGATGTGGAGCATCTGGGATTATTGGACGTTTGAATATCTTCTACAGAGAAATGTCTATTCTAATCTTTTTTCCCATTTGAAAAGTTGGGTTATAAGTCCTTTCCTTATTGAGTTGTAGTTGTAAGGATTCCTTATGTTTGCTGGATACTAGGATATGAAACATTTGCCAGAAACTTTTTTGTAATTATTTTTCCCATTCTGTGGGTTGCTTTTTAATTTTCTTGATAGTGTCCTTTGAAGCAAAAAGCTTTTAATTTTGATGAATTTCAATTTCACTATGTTTTTTATTTGGTTTCTTGCATTTTGGGCATCATACAAAAGAAATAGTTGTCTAATCCAAGGACATGAAGTTTTCTATAAACAAGATTTTTATATATGTTTCCCCCAAAGAATTTTCTAGTTGCAACTTGTACATTCAGGTCTTTGATCTACTTTGAGTTAATTTTTGTATATGATATGAGGTAGGGGTTCATCTTTGTTCTTTTTGCATGTAGATATCCAGTTGTCCCAGTATCATTTGTTAAGGACTTTTTTTTTTCTTCATTTAATTATCATGGTATTCTTGTGAAAAATCAATTAACCAGCCAGGAACAGCGATGCACGTCTGTAATCCTAGTGGCTCTGAAGGCTGAGGCAAGAGGATTGCAAGTGCAAGGCCAGCCTCAGCAACTTGTCGAGGCCCTAAACAACTTAGTGAGATCCTAAGATACATATTGCTTAGGGCATCACTAAATTGCTGAGCTGGCTTTGAACTCGTGATCCTCCTCCCTTAGCCTCCTGAGCTACTGGGATTATAGGCGTGCGCCGCCACGCTCAGCAGAAAGAGTTTTAAAGTGTACAATTCACTTTAGAATATTCACAAAGTTATACAACCATCACTGCTATCTCATTCCAGAACATTTTATTGCTCCCTAAAGAAGCCCTATCCCTAATAGCAGCCGTGTCCCTAAACTTCTTGCCTCTACCCCTGGCAATCACCAATCATCTTATTTTAAAGACAGGGAAAGTAGGTGGAGGTCGTGGCGCTTGCCTAGCATGTGTGAGGCACTGGGTTCGATTCTCAGCACCTTATATAAGTAAAGGTCCATTAACAACTAAAAAAAAAAAAAAAGACAGGGAAACAGAGGCTCAGAGTGGGGCAGTGCCTTACCTTATGTCACATTGCCCGCCAGCCACAGCAGAGCCAGGAGTGGAGCTGGGCCTCCCAACACCAGCCCCCACGACTGGGCAGGCAGCGGTGGGCTCTCCCTGCACCTCAGGCACGTGCCGGCCTGACTGGAGCAGTGTTCAGCACAGGCCTGCTGAAGGGAGTCCGCCCAGCGTTGTGGCCATACCATCTGTGACCATGTCCTTAACTGCCCATGCCCAGAACAGAGCTGAGGGCTTCTGAGGTGTAGGAGGGACCCTTGGGAAGCCACCTACAACTGTATCCTGCTTCCACAATAGCCCATGTCCTTCTGGGCTGGGAATGCCCTTCCCCCAAATGATGACAAGGCCTTACGGCCTCCTTTCCCATCCTCTCAAAGGCCCCATCCTCAGTGAGGCCCTTGCTGACCATTCTGTGAGGAATTCCCAACAGGCTCTGCCCCTCCCCACTGGTACTCTCTGTCCTCCACAGCACTGGCCATCCCTGTGATACACTGTATCCCTCCCTGCCATGACAGTTTAGGTGTGACCTGTCTCCCAAAGGTTCCGGTGCTGAAAGCTCAGACCCTCATGTAATGGTACTGAGAGGCCCTGGCGCTTTTAAGAGGCGGGGCCTAGTGGGAAGCAATGGGGGTCACCAGGGCTCCACTTTCATGAAGGGGTTAACAACGTGTTTCTGAAGAGACTGGGTTACTTCTCTTGGGATTGGATTTTAGGTCTCACAGGAGTGAGTTAGGCCCTGTCTCTCTCTCATGCACATAGTCTTTCTGAATGTGCCTGCTTCCCCTTTCTGCTTCCTCACTGTGTGTAGATGTAGTATGAAACCTTTGCCAGAAGCTCATTGGGTATGGCCTCCCAATCTTGGACTTTCCAGTGTCTAGAATCACAAGCCCAAACAAACTTTTTTTTCTTCATAAGGTACCCAGTTTCTGGTACTTTGTTGTAGCAATAGAAGACTAAGGCACCTTTTTTAATCTGGTCCTTGTCTGTCTTCCCCCATCACAATGTCAGCTCTATAATGGCAGGAATCTTATCTGCTTTGCTCACTGCTATACCTCCATTTTGGGGACAGTGCCTGGTATATAGAAAGTGCTTCATAAATATTGGTTGAATGGATGAATGGATGTGGCAGATTGTTTCTTATCAGCAGTACACAGAGGAAGGGCTAATATGACTGCTCCATAGATGGCAAACTGAGGTCCAAAGAGCTCGTGGGCACTAGGGAGGCCATTGTACCCCTGACCTAAGTCCGTTGCAGGAGCCTGGACTGGGGTCAAGATGGGCTTAAGAAGCAGAGGCCAGGGCTGGGGATGTGGCTCAAGCGGTAGCATGTTCGCCAGCCATGCGTGCGGCCCAGGTTCGATCCTCAGCACCACATACAAACAAAGATGTTGTGTCCGCCGAAAACCAAAAAAAAAAAAAAAAAAATTATAACTCTAAAAAAAAAAAGGAAGCAGAGGCCAGACTTCTGGGGTTCACCATTTTAGGACCCCCAGAAACCATAGTCAGTTTTGGAACCTAGCCTCTCCTCCTTCCTGCAGTCATTTAGCAGCTCTCACATTCCTGCCTTAGCCAAAATGGAAAAAGAAAGAAGAAAGGCAGTGCTAGCTCTTCAAATGGCCTTAGCTCCAACATGGTATGCTACCCATGACGTCATGGGCCCCGAGGCCCTCTGAGCAAAGCTCTGACGCTTCACACGGTGGGCTGGGCCCAGGGTCCACACGCTCCTCTCCCCAGAGCTATGTGAGCACTGTGGGCAGACGGTGGCTCCGTGGACAGGCCTGGGCCCAGACCCTCGGAGCCAGGGCGAAGCCAGGCGCGGGGCAGGCAGGGGCGAACTTCAACTCTCGCCCACGACCCGTGCAGACGAGAGGAACTGGGTTTTAAAGAGCTGGTGAAAAGCTAAGAAAGCAGCGAAAAATCACGCAACACAGAGATTTTAGATGGAGGGCAGGATGGCTCTGTGACCTTAAGGGTCAGTGTCCATGCTGGAAAGAGAGTGGGCCCGCATTTTTTTTTAATTTTATAGTGGGGACATCAGAGGCAAGGATAAGGTTTCAAGGGTGGAGTCTTGCTTTGAGATGTCTTGTGGTCAGCAGATTGAGTGACATCTTGGCAAGTCACACCCATCTCAGGTGGGATATTAGGCAGGGCTAGACGGGGAGGCGCACCTGCATCCTGCCATCAGTCCCTGACAGGGAGCCCGCAGTGCCAGGCCTCATTTGGCTTCTGTGTGCAACAGTCCACACACACAGCCCATGGATGGCTGGGGACAGACGTTCACCACCTGTGGGACACACAGGGCCTGCACTCTAATCTGTGCCTTTCCGCAAGGAGCTAAGGGTGGTATGGTACCCTGCCTGTGCTCACTCACACAAGAGAAGAAATGACAGCCTCAGACTTGAACCCTGTCCTTTATCGTAAGTTCTCTGTTCTACTTGAAAAGAGAAGGCATGGGTCCTACTTAAGAGAAGTCGACAGCCTGAGACTGGCCATGGGGAAACTACTTGATTAAGTCACAGTCTTCACTTTACAATGGAAGACACCAGGGTTCAAAGAGGGACAGGGACTAACCCAAGATCACACAACCACTCCTCGGACTGGGCAGTGCCAGAGGTAGTCCCTGGGTTCCTGACTGGGAGAAGTTCTTACTGTATCCTGCGCTTAAACTATTCCGTTCAGGCGGAAACTCTGCTCTTCTGGAAGAGACGTCAGGCCTTTCCAGAATCCGGTCTAAGGCTGTCTTCCAGCATCTGCTGTCAGGTTTTATTCCTCAGGGAACAGCTGTTGGCTAAAGTAGGCGAGATATTGATCACGGCTGGGGTTGGTGGGGGGTGGGCTGGGGTCGTGGGAGGACGAGGGGGAGTGAGAAGGGAGGGGACAGTGCAAGTCTCTCTGAAAAACTAAAGTTATCATTTTAACTGTTGCTTGTCCATATTTTCTCATTTCCTACTGTTATGTAATTCATATTTGAAAGTGATAAACTGTTTAATTGGGAATGATCTAGAAATCACATAGCAGGGCAGGGCTGTGCCGGCCCTGCCCTGCTATGTGAACCTGGGCAGCTTCCCACTCCTATTTGGGTTTTTCTTAGAAATGCTGAAAGGCAAATGAATCCAAAGACTCCTGGCTCAGCAAACAGCTCTGTGGCCTGTCGACGAGGGACGCTCATCTAAGGACAGAACACAGCAACCAAGGAGGGAGGCGTCCACAGAAAAGCCAGGGCTCTGAGAAGTCCCCTCTGGCTGGGTGCGTGTCCAGTGCTGTGCAGGTCAGGGATGTTGCCTGACGTGTGCCCACCTGAGTCCCCACAGAAGGCCTCCCTGAGGAGGATGGAGATGGGCCGTCAGTCCTTAGCATATTCCAGACCAATTAGGCAACAGGTTTCTAGTGACCTGGCTCCCAGGAGCATGGGAGATGGGAAGGGGACAGGGGCAATGCTGTCAGTGGGAAGGGAGACTGCCTGGTGTCACTTATATTTGTGCTGGGAGGAGGCACCATCTTGAGAGACCTGTTTGGGCCGGCCTGACTGACTTCTAGATGCCTGGAGAAAGGTTAATGCCAGGGCCTGCCAGGTGAGGGTCAGACTCCAGGCTGGTCATTCACCCCGCACCTGCCATCTAGTGAAAAGGTTAAATGATTTTAATATGTGTGCAGGTCCTAGACCTGAGCCTGGCATAAAATAAGTGGACAAAAAGAACTGTTCAATGAAAAGTTAGCTGTGACCTATCCGGACAGCATCTTAGAGTGGTGAGTTCAGAAATGGAGGAGCCCCTTGGTCCAGCTGGAAGCCTTATTTCTGGAAGGCTCAGCCCACACCACTCTCCTCCTTGTGACCAGCATGACTGTGTCTGCCACTCACAGGCACCAAGAGAGCACCCAGCTGACTCCTCTGTGTCGTCCCTTCCTGGTCTTACCTGTTCCCTTCTGGTCCTGAGGGTGGATCGTGGTTCTCCACCTCTGAGTTATATCCCTCCCTCCAAAACACCTTCCATCATTCACTTCCTAGAGAAGTGGAATTCTAGATCCGGAGGCCCAGTTTGCCCCCCTCCATTGATACGCACATGGAGAACGGAGGCCTGGAGAGGGAGAGTCTGTCCCAGCCCCCAGTTTGCACAGCCGGTGAGTCGGTGCTGGGCTGGAGCTAGGCCAGGCCCAGGGCTTTCTCCCAGCCTCCCCGGCTCTCTGGGGGTCCCCAGAGGCCACTCTGGAGACTCTGTTCCCCCTCCCCCTCATGGCCACCCCTCACCTGGTCTTTGTTTGCCGTGTCCTCTACATCTCTGTCTTGGGTTATTCTCACCAAGTGGGGTCAGCCCCCCGGGAGCAGGCAGCTAACGAACTTCAGATGTCCCAGCCAGACTCGGCCTGGTGGCTGCGGGTGCTCAAATGTTCCTGCTGATTGTGGATGCCTGCCCTGGCCAGGGGGCTGGCGGAGAGAAAGACTCCTGTCCCCCTCACAGGTAACTGATCTGGCTTGGATGCAGCAGCTGCCAGTAGTTGGTCCCAGAACTTGACCAGGGCGGCTGTGTGGAGGAGATCTGGAAAAGGGCAGGGAGCTAGAGGACAAATGCATTTGCATCATTTCTTCTTCTTTCACACCTTTTCTGGGTCCTAAGAAGTTTCCACCGAGCTCGTGGCAGGGAGGGGGAAGACCGGGCAGCCAGCTCTGTGCAAGCTCAACCTCACAGAAACCCTGCAGTTAGGACTGTCATCCATCAGTTGACAGAGGAGGAAACAGAGCCCAGAGAGGTCACACAGACCCTGAGTAGCCAAACTGGTATTCCAGACCCTCTGTCAGCATCTGTGTTCTGCCCTGGGACAAGCTGGGATGTTTCAGGAGCCCAGAATGGTACACTGTGGTCTCTGAGCTGGGTGCAGGGTGAGGGCCTGTGCTGCTCTGGGGTTTCAGACACCAAGGCTGCGGTTGCGGCTGACTCACGCCTGGATCATGACAAGGCAGCAGATTTCACATTCACAGAATGAGGGTCATCATCTCAAGTTCAGGTGAGGTAATACTGATTGCCATCATCGCATTCTCAGCCATGCCCAGAACACAATCTGAGAGCCAGACCCTGCGCTGGGGGCTTTTCGTTGGTGAGTTGTGAAGAGCATGGATTCTAGCACCGATGCTTTCCAGCCGGGCTAGCCAGGCCGGTTCCTTTGCCTCCCCGTGCCTCCATTTTCTCACCTATGTGGTTGAGATGATTAATTTCCATCTCAGAGGGTTGTTGTAAAATTAAATAGTTTAGTATTTGTACAGGGCTAGAAGGATGCCTGGCACAGGGCACGCACCTGGCACGTGTATCAGCTAATAATGGGCTTAAGACCTTAAGACTGGTGTTCTTTTCCCCAGAGTTCAGATGTGGAAACTGAGTAATGCTATGCAGCGATTCTTTTTTGTGCATGGGGAGGGTGTGGTACTGGGGATTGAACTCAGGGGCACTTGACCACTGAGCCACATACCCAGCCCTATTTTGTATTTTATTTAGAGACAGGGTCTCACTGAGTTGCTTAGTGCCTCACCATTGCTGAGGCTGGCTTTGAACTCGTGAACCTCCTGCCTTAGCCTTCTGAGCTACTGGGATTACATGCCTGTGCCACGGTGCCCAGAGCAGTGGTGCCTCCTATAACCCCAGCAGCTCCAGAGATGGAGGCAGGAGGATCTCAAGTTTGAAGCCAGCCTTAGGAACTTGGTGATGCCTTAACTCATTGAGACCCTGTATCTAAATATGAGAAAGGGCTGGGGATGTGGCTCAGTGGTTAAGCACCCTGGGTTTAATCCCCAGTACAAAAACAAAACAAAAATAAATAAATAATAAAATTCTGAAAGCCAGGCCCCACTTCCAGAACTTCTGGTTCAGTAAGTCCAGGTTGGGACCTGAGAATATGCTTTCCCAGCATGTTCGTGGGTACTGTTGATGCTGCTGGTCAGGGAACCACTGTGGTTTCAGACCCATTGTTCAAATAGGTCCTGTTGTGCCACGGTCAGCTAGGACCAGGAATGGTGGGAACAATAAATAATTTGGTGTGTAAATAGGTGGGTGGGAGATTATAGACATCAGGAAGAACCTTGGACTAGAAGCTCTGTGCAGCTAGCCCTGAATTCGTACCCAACTCCCTATAGGACTTGAGCTCATCACTTTCCCTTGCAGCCTGGGTTTCCTCCTCTATAAAATGGGTGAGAACCCTCTGTCACAGGGCTCTCACATGCGTAGAAAGCCTGCAACAGCTGACTGGACAGCAAATGACAGGGGTGGACCTGGGTGGAAGGCATCTGATGCCCACTATGATCTTTCATTGTCCCTCTCCTCTCCCAGCATGGAGGGCTGCAGCTCATCCGGATTTCTTCCTTGAACCTGAGTTGGGAAGATCACCAGCACACTGTCCCCCAACGCCCTATGGCAGAGGGCAGCGTGCTTGCTGCAGCCACAGGCTGCATAAAGGAGCCTGTGTCCTGGCTGCTCACCTCCCACTGTGCGTCCAGTGGTTTTCTATTTCAGTTGCTGTAAAAATATCACCTTTGATCTCAGCTTGTGGCTCTTAAAAAAAAAAAAAAGAAGAAGAAGAAGAAGAAGAAACCACCACCAACAGGCTGGGTCCTCCTTCTCCCCCTCACCTCAGCTCCTGCTCTCCTCCCTTCCCCTCCCTTCTCTCCCCACTTGTCCTCTCCTCTCTGGATCACCAGCACCCTAACTAGCCCCAGAGCGCCTTAGCCCCTTAGGAATCCACTAGTCTTTATCTCTGCCTGCCTCCCCTACATGCTGACCTGGGGCTGTAGGCTGTTGACAGAAGGAGTAGTGGAAATGAGGGCAGCGTGAAGGGAGGCTGCTCTACTCCTTCTCCCCCTCCCTGCCCCTTCCCTTGTGCTCTTGAGCCAAGAATCTCCAAGATTCCCTGCTTCACCAGGTCCAGGCTGCTTCTCCAGCCGACGTCCAGAACATGGTATCAATCACAGGCCTGCATCTGTGAAGTCTCCAGGCCTCCCCAGGGGGAGAGGGAACAGCTCCTGGGGCCTAAATATTTACATCGCACCATCTACTTAGATTTGCCTGGAGGAGTGGCCTTCAGCCTGATGGTTTTTTATCCCACCTCCTGGCTGAGCAGGCAGGCAGACAGACCCCTGCACCCCCGCCCCCAACACATACTTACATACACCCTTGTACCTTTCCTCTCAGCAAATTTTGAGGCGAAACACATACAGGATGCCCACTTTGGAAGGTCCCCATGATTTGGTCTCCCTATGATATTCTGGAGTTGACTTGCCCCATGCTGAGGCCCCTGAGATGACCTTTCTGGGTGGAAAGTCACCTTCTTACCACTGGGGCCCCTCTGTCTAGTGAGATCATCTCCAAGTGCCCCAGCTCTGGCGGAGGGGCCAGAGAATCCTGCCACCTCCCTAGGCCATTTCTTTGCTCACAGGCATTTTGATGCCAGTGAAGGAGGCAAACAGCCTTGAACTTCTGACTCACACCAGGCTTTGAGCTGTGATGATGTATTTTTTTTGGCTTCAGCTTTTAAAGAAAGACAAAATAATATTCATTCAACAAACACTTCTCCACAGGTCATCTGTTTCGGGCCGGGCTGACCACTGCCCTTTCTCAGGGAGCCCTCACCCTGCCCCTGCAGGTGGAGACACAGGTGTGCAGGGGTCAGGCAACCAGGTTAACAGGGAGTGCAAGGGCTGGGAGCACCTGGAGGAGGGTCGAACAGGAGGAGGTAGTAGAGGAGCAGAAATGGCAAAGCTGGGAATTTGCAGGAAGCTGGGGCCTCCTTTATGGAAGGGGCAGCTCTGAATTGAGGGATGGCCTAATATCCAAGGTGGAATGAGGAGGCCCACTGAGAGGCTATCCCGGGAGAGGTCAGGCCTCTGAGAGCCCACAGTGGCTTGGCCACTACTCTCAGGGCCTGGGAAGCCACTGCAGTATTGGAAGCAAGTGTGGATATATGAACTATCCATAAGAAAGGCATGTCTGGGGGCATGGAGGCCTGAGAACAGGTCTTGGGTGTGGATCCAGGCCACAGTCTCGTTTAGCTACAACCACAGCCGGCCAAGGCCCAGACTGAACTCCTTGCAGACCAGCCCAC